GATACATTGTGAGCACTGTAAATTTAATAAGCAAAGAAAAAATAATGAGACCAACAAGGAAAAGGTACAAACTTCTGAGTCCCAGGAAGAACTAAACCTCAGACCTTTTGTCACTCCACCACTCAGCCACAGAGACTCTATGGTAAATTGGGCCTTATTCACTTAGTTCATATGAAACACACATTGGGCATAACACTACTACTAGCAATTTGTATAAAGCTTCATGTGTGCGTTGACAGAAAAAGGAAAAGGTGGTAATTTTTTTTAAGCTCTGTAATGAAATACAGAGATGACTTTTATTCTTTGGGAAAATAATACTTACCATATCTTAGGGGTTAAGGTATCATTTTGAACTCGCCAAGGCTTGGTTCCATAAATACCTTCCCCATTAACATTCAGCCAGTCTCCCATTTGTTCAAGACGTTCCTGAAAAATTGGGTCAATTCGACCATCTGCTGTTGGGCCAACATTCATCAGCATGTTACCACCACAACTGTTCAGAGGGAGAGTAAAAATAATTTAATAAATTAGTGACTATAAAAAATCAGACCAGCTCTCTTGTGCCTCAGGGAAAATTGTCTCATGATTAGTTTTATTCCATAACCAGCTATGCCAACATCTGTATACTAGACTAAGGAAATCACTTGTTTAAAATAAGAAAAGGTGACATTATGAAAAAAAATCATGAGGAAAGTCAATAGTGATAAAAGAAAAGAGAAAAGAAAGTGATTAATAAGAGGAATCAGGAGTGAGGGGATGACAAGAAGAGCAACAATGAGAGCTGGAGTAAATACTGCAGGCACCTGAACCACAATGGATAGGGAAAGGACACAGGAAAAAGAAGAATATTTTAAGATTCTAACCTCACAGTTGAAGCAAGGATACTGGTCAGGTTATCCATAGTTAGAAAGTCTGAGATAATTGTGTTTCTTCGATATCCCCATGAATCTTTATCAACTGTCATGGCATCTTCCCATTTGTGTTTCTGCAAAACACCTGAAAATGGACGGAAATACCTTTTTAATAAATCTGATATTAAGATCTACACTCCACCAACAGCAAAATGTAATGTTGCCTCTAAAATTTTGAGAAAAATTATAAAAGTTTTACAATTTTAACAAAAAGATATGAAAATAAGATTAATATACAATTAAGGGATGGTGTATACTTTTTTATACGCTACCTGGATTATATCTGTCAGCACAAGTAAACACACCACCATGGTGACACATATCACCAACACCCCAGCGGTCATTCACCACCACAGTGTCTTTAACAGGACTGAAAATAAAGTGTGAGAAATTCACTTTGACCCACTGACTTATATTACTGTCATGTGCTTAGTAAGTCCCAAAGTAGGTTCCTTACAGTACATGTTTGATGTTAAGTGGCCTTGGGGCCAGAGTTGGTCTTGTTAATCACAACTTGATGCCGGTTGCTTCTGGTAGATTCTTACACAGGACACAGTCATGAATTTAAAAACTTTAAACTTGCAAATATGTATTGTGTGATTATATCAGAAGATTCTTACACAGGACACAGTCATGAATTTTAAAACTCTAAGTTTGCAAACATTTTGGAGTAAATTCTAAACTAAGTATTTACTAATTTTTACAGGTGGTTTCACCTTAGAATTTTGTCATTTTGTTCTCCTGCAATGAAATGTTACCTGTCATTGTACAGCCATGCAAGAAATTCTTTACTCTTCCAGTAAGAATCACTAGCTTCCCAGTCACCGTCTGACCAAATATACTCTGGCTTGTAATTCTCTACAATATCATACATCTGGGGTAGCATAATTTCCTTTATTAAAAAACAGAAAGTACATATTATCCAGGAGTTTCATTCAGATATTTAGTACCATAATTTCTAGCCGATTACCCATGGGTAATCTGTTAATTTTACCACAGACAGTTGTTGGTGCAAGTTATGGGAAGGAGCAGGTAATAAGATAATTTTACAGAACAACAGCACGACAGAATATTTGACACATCAGTGAAATTTTCTTAGCTAGCACTGCCATGAGTTAAAGAGTATTTTCATGTTTCAAGGCATTTCTTTGATTCATTCTATAAGAAACATCGAGAACAGGAAGTGTGAAAATTTATTAATTGCATGCTAAAGGATATCATGTCCACAAAAACAATGGTGGAACTTTGTGTGAGTTGACGATTTTCTTTTGTTCTTAGGTGCAGGTTATCTGCCAGTGCAGGTGATCTGTTTAAATTTTTTTTGTCACAATTGCAAAAATTGACATATGCAGGTAATCTGCCGCACGGGTAAATAGCCAGAAATTACGGTACCAGGATAATGGTGAAACTAAAAGTAACAGTACAGAAAAAACTGCACAGTCTACAATTCCACATCTAACAATAAATATATATTTTAAAAAAACTGCCTCATCAATATCTTATTAAGAAAATATTCCACATCAATACAAAAATGCATTATTAGGTTTGGTTGACAGCCTTGAGAACAAATCCATGATTTACATGTAGCTGGGGAGAATGCAAGATCAGAAAAACATATAAAACAGTGCTAAAATGTTCATTAAACTCTTTAACTCCCAGGAGTCATTAAAAAGTAACTTCTCCCTAAAATATCTAACCATTATCCAGCAAACAGGCAATGAGAATATTCAAACTTATTGGGTTCAAGTTGCTCTCTCAATCTGACAGCAAATTCTTGCAACTTACTTATGAGGAAACATATAGCAGCTAGTGGGGAGAATTCACAATCAGATATTCAGAGTTAAAGGGTTAACCCTTTCACTCTCACGATCTTATCAGTAGTTCTCTTTACCATCTGCCCCACAACTTCTATAATGTTAGTTAAGAGAATTTGGTACTGAATCAACTAATAATCCTTTAATTGATTTTTTTTCTTTATTCTCGTCACCCATCAGCTTGAAAGTGTACTGTTATCGTAAAGAGAAACCTTTGTCCTGGTCACTTATGGGAGTTCAAGTATTAAAACTGAATTTATCCTTAAGAGTTCAACTTACATCAACATATGTCTGTGTGGCAAATTTATTTTCTTTATCTTCCAGATAAAGAGGGTTAAACCATTCATAAAGGGAATAGTACAAACCAAATGTGATGTTAGTGCGCTTCCTAATGGCTGATGCTAGATCACCTGTTCAAGACAAATAAAATGACCATGTTATTTTTGCACAATGTTTCAAGAACAATATCATGGTGGGCATCAGTTCTGAGCGTGCACTATAATAGACCTGGCTTTTTCTTTTGTATCTGCTAACATGAAGGATTCCTATTTTATCAAAACATACAGTGGCACAAATGCAACTTTAAAGAAAGTGCCATTTTGGTTGTGGAGGACCAACTTGGAAATGTTCAGTGTGACTTTAGGTGATTGCAAAGTAAATCTGGCCTTACAAAAAGATTACAAAAAGCATGAAATAGAATGCCCAAGTTGAGACCAAAAGCTTGCTTACCAACAAGATCCCTATGAGGACCATTATTGACGGAGTTCCAGTTCCAAGAAACATTTGACCTCCAGTTTGTCCAGCCCTCATGGTGTTTACTTGTCAAAACAACATATCTATCAAAGATGAAAATAATTATAAAAGTAAGGCATTACTTCTTCCAGCCTAGTTGTTAAAAAAGTAGTAGCTGACTTCATGTTGTTGATCCTCTCTCCTAAAGAAAAGCTCCTTCTACTTGAATATGTTAGTTTCTTAAGAATAAAGTTTACTTTTGCAAAATGAGAGTTATGCAATGATTCCCATAGAGAAGGGATATTATCACAAACTTAATTGGCAGTAGAGATTGCCATCACAGAAAATGAGCAGTTGAGCATGGTTGAGAGGGGAGGAGGGATGAGCCAACAAGCCTGGTACACACACTGCATATCCCAGACCTACTTAAGACTATAGAGATAAATTGAGACTGTTGGCCATGGTATAGTCATCAACTATGCAAAGAACAAGTCTGTAGAGTAACAAGACTTGATTAAGTAAAAGGACTTGTCACCCATTAAAAAAAATTATATAATATCATCACTTCCAAAAAAATCTTAAGAGAAAATGCGCTCTCAGCAGATTTTGTTCGAATAGCTTTGATGCTGAAACTGGAACTAACATCTGTCAGATATCAAGGAATGTCTGCTGAAGCTGAATATAGCATGTTTAATCAAATCCTCAAAACTCTCAAACCAAGAGATTTAATCTACGAAAATAGGTCAAGTTGTAAACGTAAAAAGTTTCACAAAGAGAACCCTTTGTGATGCAGGTACTTATTACAAAACCACCTATTTTAGAAACCATTTCTAAAGATAACTACATATATTGCATAATTTTCTTAGTTCAGCTTGTCTCAACTGCTTCGGAAAGCTTGAAATGCCCAATTTTCGTACTATAAAGAAACACTCTATAAATGAGAGTATTAAAAGAATGGCAACCTTTAAAAAAATCATGAAAAAATCGTCCCACAAACCTGGCACCAGATCGAGCCAACATGTCCGCCCATAGATCAGGGTCGAAAAATTCAGCCCTGAACATCGGCGCAAAATCGGCATAGGAGAAACCCGGACGATAATTCTTTTTCATAAACTCAACGTATTTTGGATCATTTTCTCCTTTCCAATGCCACCAGAACCATTCGGAGCCAAAACTCGGAACAGCATACACCCCCCAGTGCATAAAAATTCCGAACTTCGCATCGTCGTACCAGGAGGGAAGTGGCCGCGAATCAAGCGACTCCCACGTCGCCTGATATTTCGCTTGTGCAAAAAGAAAATTTAAGCCCAGGAGGAAAATACTAGTAATCGTTAACATTTTTCTAAAGGCAAGCGTCTGCTCTAAGGGAAAGATTTGAGACAAGAGGGACAGCAATCGATACCGAAAAAATAGAACACATGTCGTGTAAAAAGTCATGAACTATCCCACAAATGCCACGTTGGTTCCCAGTCTTTCAAAACCAGTCGAGACTAACTTTCTGGGGTCAAAGCCTTTTAATGTTATTATGATAGGTAATAATAAAACAAAAAGTTCTCCTTTTCTGTCAAAGAAATTTTATCAGTATCACTTTCATCATCACTGCGTCATTTCATAAACTTTTGAGCCATACAGCTGTTACCTTGGTTGATCGCTCTGACGAAGGCCTAACGCTCGCAACTTCGGCTTTTATTAAACTATTTACGGTATCAACTCAGTTGATAATACTTAATTACCTTGTTACCTTGGTAACCTCATCGCTTCGCGTCGCTATTCTCAAGCTCGTTTAGCATTTTCGTGCAAACAGTGCAGGTCTTAAGTATCAACCTTAATTTTCTGATATATCTCTCTAAAATTCTGCCTTAAATTTTGAGTTATTGCTTCGTGAGAAGGAATCGCCTCCCTCAATACATATCTTCCAAGTATGCGAGGGGCAGTATATTCAGCATGATCCACCAACAATGTCCCGTCTCTGCCATCTTTAGCATCCGCAAGATCATATCCTTGTTTTATCTTGAACATTCCTCCCAACAAATCCGCTGTACTCTGAATGATAGTATCCTCTAGTATCTCCCTTGTGATAAGATGGAAAGTAACATTTTTTTCGTAGACTCCAAATAAAACAGGGTTCTCATCAATGTCAAATTCCACGATCCTTTTTCCATCTTCGCCTTGCAATCGGACTATGTTGCTTACACCAGTGCTAGAACAAAGAAGAGAAGTTCCTTAAAATACATTGAATTTGATCATATCAGATCAGTGAGGCGTAATGAGCCGAGTTCTCTGCGGTTCAATGGCCAGAGGGGGAACTTTAATTACTAAAGCGCTAGATAGCTATACATGAAAACTTATTTAGTTCTTCCGAAATGAGAAAGTAACAACTAAACAGATCGCCAAATGCATGGTAAGTGATACTTATCATAGTTGGAGTTCAAAGGGATTGCTGGCGTGGAATATAGACCAATACCCCACCTCAGGCTGAATTCAAATTCTTACCACATTGGGTGAGTCACCACCAAATATTCTGGTTCATCCATCAAAATTCGAAACACATCTGACCGCTTTGCTGGTATATACACCGGCTCTAGTGAGAATCCGACAGTGACAACTTCCAGCTCCCTGTAGGCTAAAACGCCAAGAATTGCCACTAAAGAGGTCCAGAAGATGATCCTGAGAGTCATTACGGTCGTTCACTGGCACTTGATCGGGTCACCGAGATGAAGGAGAGAGCGTGACTTGAGAGACGGTAGAAGTTTTGTGACATGTATGACGTCATTTCCAGAAATGTTTGCGAAATGTGTGACTTGAAAGGTACTTGATCGGAAAGAGAATACTGTCTCATTCTTTCCCAGCTCTCGTGTCAGTTGTAGCGAGGATCAATGTTTTCAGAAGCTTATGGAAGCTGTCAAAAGTGGAAAACTATACCATAATCCGAGATTTATCTTGGTGTTACATTCTTGCTTTAAGCCTTTTCTTTTGGTTGAGGACAAATATGGCTTCCTTCGAGAAGTCCAGAAATAGCACCAAATAGATAGTAAAACCGTGTTGTTGAATGGCTGATAAAAACGACGACGAAAGCGAGAAGTGGTGTGCTGTATGCAGTGATAGTGCCTCCGGTTACCATTACGGTGCGAACACTTGTGAAGGCTGCAAGAGTTTCTTTAAGAGGACAGTACAGAAAGAGCTGCTGGACAAATATGAGTGTATTGCTGATGAAAGCTGTCCCGTAGACAAGCAGTCACGGGCCAAATGTCAGTTCTGTCGGCTTCAGAAATGTTTTACAGTGGGGATGGTCGCAGAAGGTATTGATTTCTCTTACAGAGATTTTCATTCAAAATCTAAAGATTATTAGAGATGAAGCACAGGTAGGAATATTCCGCCAGAGTAATCTTTCGATCAAGGAATTCGACTGGACAAATGACAACATGTACTTAGTGTTTAATTATGATTTCTGCGAGTTAGACTGCAGGGAAAAATGGCGAAAATTAATAAAATGATTTTGATATACTACTAAAGGCAGCCAATCTCTGAAAAACGACCTTTAGACTGTGTTGAGACAAAATGATAATAAGTTTGACTTCAGGATGTTGAAACGAGTCACAGCAGTGTCATGTGATCTACTTCTACTTATTATGCTGGTGAAATTAACAGAACCTTCGGTTATTATTGTAAAAAGTGGGACAACATGTAAACAGAAAAGCTGTTCTGTTGTTATGCATATTTTATCCAATTATATTTTATATTTTCATTCGTCAACTTCAAAACTTAATTAAATCCCTGATTAAGCATTGAGGTTTGAGTTGCTACAAGTTATTAAGCAAGGGTGAAGATATGGGTAGGATTGGTGACTGGGATATATTTCAGACTGTGTTTCATGAAATGATAATCATTTGTGGGGCTGTCTTGGTGTACCGGTACACGGGGGAATTCCTATTGTTTTCATATCCATACATGGAGTTGTGACGCAGTTCGTTAATGTTTCGTTCCTTTGTGTACCGGTACACGAGGACACAACCTCATTTGTTTTTATTGATATTCTTACATAACAATCAATTCCTCACTTCTAGTGAGAGAATTTGAGCATAGGGTTAGTTGTAAATGTAAATTTACACATTTTGGAAAACAAATTTGGTTTCAAGTTGTGTTTCTTTAGACATCTTTACCCAAACTCTTTGGCCATCTTCAGATATGTTTGTTTCCCTAAAAGTTATCCTGACCCTCTCAGTACTTTGCTTTAAGGCTTTTTTTTTAAAGCTACAGAGTAGGAGTCATAAGTAGGAGGCACTTAGACTTAAGAGCACAATACTAGTGGAACCAGAGTCTGAAGATTCTAAATAGTTCCATTTCCTCCCAATCCTGCTGAGGAATCATACGTTTATGATCAGTTAAGAACTAAATTGTTCAAGCAGCAAGCAGAAGCAGAAGATTCAACCAATCAGAGCACAAGTTCTAAGGTCATCAAATGGCTTAATAACCTAATCAACCTAGATTTCAAAGATCACAGACAATTGAGCCACTAATGGCAACGGAATACTGCTTCCAATTCTGTTGTTGTTGTTATTTTTTTTTTTTTTTTGTCATTAGTTTGCATCTCTCTGCACTTCTAAGAAAAAACTCTAGCCCTGATATTTGTGAAAACCAGCCTGAAGTGTAAAAGGTTATGTCATGCATACAATGCAAGTGACAATTATTGCTACATGTTTACTTTTTTATTGAAATATTTATTTTTTTCTAGGGGTAAGAAAAGAAAAAAAGCGTGGTGGACGATCATTCTATCCACTAAAGAAACAGAAATGTGATGAAACAACTGAGAGAAATGTGAATCAAGACACAAATATTGTATATTGCTCTGAACTCATTGAAAAACTTATGGAAAGTAGTCCTTGCATCATTCCTCCTGGAGAGTCAGATGAGAATCCAAAGGAAGCAGATGGCACAGAAAGCAGGGAAGGAATGCTTACCAGACTTTCCACTGCAATTACCAAAGAACTATACTTGATTGTTGAATGGGCCAAACTGGTACCGGGTTTTGAAAATCTTTGCCGTAAGGATCAGATTGCTTTGTTGACTGCTGGAGGAATGGAACTGATTGTGTTTCGAGTCATTTACAGGTCTATTCCTTACAAAGAGTATGTGTACATGAACTCAACCACTCTTCTTGAGAGAGAGGATTGTTACAGTGTGTTAAACAAAGAAATTGTTGACATGATTCTTGATGTGGTAGAAAGACTTAGGCCCCTTGCCATGGATCAAGTAGAATTTGCTTGTTTAAAGACTATTCTCTTAGCTAATCCAGGTAGGGATTTTCAGTGCATAACTTTACATTATCAACCTTGGTCAGTCTGTCTAGTAGATAAATGTCTGTCTATTTTTTCAATTGCCTATCTGACTATATTCTTGCACAGTTACATCCATCTCTCTGTCAGAAAAATTACCTCTGTCCGTTTGTCTATGTATTTGCATAAAGGGGGTAAGTTTCTAAAGAAACTGTAGTGCTGCATCGGTGGGAGTTTATAACAGGTAATTTAGCATTAACAACTGAGTTGAAAATGTAAGTTGGCCTCCGTAAAGAGTTTAAAAGCTGATGTTATGAGCATTAGCCCTTCATCAGAGTGAAGGGCTAACATTTGAAACATCAGCCTTTAAACTCTTTATGGCGACCAATTTACGTTTTCAACTCAGTTGTTAACACTAAATTACCTATGTATTTGCATGTCTGAGTCTCACCACATGCCTCCAGGGTCTTGCATGCTTAGACAGCTACATGGTACATTACTACCTTACCGTAAGCTTTATTCTTGTCCTACATTCTGAATCATTTTGTATTATTTTCAAGCCAAGAGGAATGTTATGCCAAGAAACCAATAGAAATTGCCATCTACTACTGACAGAAATAATTTGCTGTCTTAAATTGAGTTGTTGTCCAGAGCAGAATGCCACTTAGTCTTACATTTACATTAAAATCTTTTGAAATTAATTTTACCATAGGCACCAACTTTTCTGACTGATTTTTGTGTAGTGGAATTTGGCAAGTATGAAACTAAAACTGTTTAACCTGTAATTCCTATGAGTGACCGAGCCAGAAGTTCTCCATACAACATCAATACAACATCAAGCAGACAAGTAATGAGGATAAAGGGAAATATCAATTTGGTGATTATTAGTTGTTCCAATACCAAATTATCTGAATTTACATTATGAAAATTCTACGACAGACAGTATAAGGAGGATTTCTGAAGAGATCTTGGTAGTGGAAGGGTTGAAGGTGGAATTGGTAACTAAAAAAAAGGTGAATGTTAAATTTTGCTTCACCCCTCCAATGATTTATTAGAACATAAAACAAATTCAAATCATGGCATTCATCATGAAGGCTATGTTCTTCAAAAATTACAAGAATCTTGGACCCTTAAACCATTCCATCTGTGAAGATTATAACCAACTGATTTTTAAAAATGTTTTACAGAAACATCAGGACTTTCTGACAAGATTGCAGTTGAAGCACTTCAAGGGTCATTTCTTGCAGCTCTTAAAGATCACATGGAGTTAAATTACCCTGATCGTTCAGGACGCTTTGCTAAGCTTCTTCTCCGGTTACCAGCTCTTCGTGATGTTTGCACTAAAGGCTATCAGTATTTCTTGCTAGTGCGGGCCAAGCTGGAGGGAGAAATTCCAATGTCAACATTACTACAAGAAATGTTTGAATCTGCAAGGTTTTAGAGAACATACCTCTAACCTTCCTTGGTACATAATATAGGGACATTAACTTGGAAGTTACTTCAAATGGAGTAGTTTTAGAGAAAATACCTTCATATTACTGTCCGAGTCATTGGAATACGGACATCTTCATCCCATGGAAATGTATGTTGTGGCTCAAATTTTTACCTTGTTTCTAAAATGTTACAAATCAGTTTGGCTTTTTTCTTTTCTTTTTTTTTTTTGCCTTGTATTCATTGGTGAACTTAATATTTTGGAATAAAGGTAGGTAACACTGGTTTATTAATTCTTAGCACAAGTGAAAAATGTGAACCACATCATATTTTTGACAACAAAAACTTTTGAGAAGCTTAAGCTGAAAACTTGTAGGTAAATGATTCTCCTGTTCTCTATCAGATTCTCCCACTTTTCAGGTTGTATAAAGTTTGTTAATTCTGAGAGGGACATATTGGTACATTTTGTAAATTCTCGTATTTCCAAATTTTTTACACAAGCTTGTGCAGACTGCTCACATTCATTTTGCTGATAGGATCAGGTTATACATGTCTCTATCTCCATATTAAGACCTGCTGTGAGCAGGTTAGGAGAAGAAATAGTCATTGTTGGGAAAAATAGATTGTTTACTATGGACGTAACGATTTGTATGAATTCAATCAAGAGAACGTTGTACATAACACAAATATCAAATAAGTTGTATGATTTGTTTGAATCGAATTAAAAGTAATGAATTGGACTCTGAAGGGTTTTATGGGCTTATAGAGCCTAAGTTATGCTCAATCTGTGGCATAGTGCGACCGTCCTATTACCAGCTATGAGAGGAAAACTGGAGAAGTTTTGTCGTTGTACTGTTGGTGGGGCAAGAACCTAAATCACTGAAAACAAGGACTTAAAACAGTTTTCAACTTTATTCATAAATCAACTCAAAAACAATTGTCAAAAATTATTTTCTCGTAAACCCATCGTTTTTCCTCAGCATTCATTGAAAAGTTTGCACTCCGCGTGCAACATTTGTGTAAATCCAACATCTCTCGTAAGATGAACACCTCTCTGAGGATGAACCACTTTAACCTATAAAAGCAAGGATTTCATGATAAGAATCTTGATTAAAACTGCGAAAATGAAACAAGAATTTATCAATTATCACTTTACATGTGACAGTGGTTAAAGTAGTGGTGTCCTACACGTCTGGTGTGGTCTCGAAATCTTCCAGCGCAACCCCATCACCATACAAGTACGTAGATTGCAGTCTTTCCGAAGAGGACAGGAGAGAATGGTTGGGAAGTCTAGACACCCTGCACCACCTTGTAGGTTCTTCAACTGGAGCTTCACGGCCCAAGGAAGCGTGATCAGCACGGATGCTTTTTCTTGGCTTCACCGACCGCTTAGTTTTGCCTTGGAAAACTAATGTTTCCTCTTCATCACGGAACAATTCTGGAATATCTATGAAACACGAAATACTACGTTTGCATAGTGGAAACACCGAAAAAAGAACAAGAATTTACGCAATACGTAGCATGCCCCCTACCTTCAGACGATGAATCTGAACCAAAGCTCTTTTCGGGCTTTGACCAAACTACTCCAAGACAATATCCTTGTCCACCTCTGCCAGGCGGCCTCTCAGTGGGAACAGGATCCCAGTGCGCTGGGTAGCGTGGAAGCGTCGCCGTCACTGGTCGCTCAAGGATTCGTTTCACCTCGTCTGGTTCAGGTTCACCAAAACCCTCAAAGTCCTCCTCCATCTCTTTCTCCTTCTTTCTCCGGTACTTCTCAAGGAAGTCTTGAACCATGTCGGGCTTCTTTTCTCGCTTGATTGAAGGCAAACACGGTCCAGCCCCATGCCATTTCGGCTTTATGTCAGGAATAGGAGGTGAGTTACTTGCGCCACCTTGAAAACAGTCCGTGCTCGTGAGCGCACGGAATTGCTGAACGAATGTTGACGGTTTCCTGTCTACCCAGTTGCGCCTCGTTTTAAACGTTGAGTTGAATGTGGCGCTGTTTGGTTCTTCGTTGAAAATTTCAGGTTTCAGTTTAAATCTCACCCTCTTCTTGATTTTATGACTCGGAGAATCTTTCTTGACGCACTCCTGCCTACCTGACAGAGAACTTTCATAGTGACAAATTGAGTTAAGATCATATTTGTTCTCGGAATTGAAACTCCTTTGCAGCTCCTGTAATGCTTCCTCTCCTTTCTTGTTCTTTTTACTTTGTTTTTTCTCTGAGCTCTTCTGGCAAAGTTTAGACTTCGATACCTTCCTCGAAACCGCTGAAGGTTCAGTGAGCCCGCTTTTCATGTCTAGTGTACTAAGTTGTTTCTTCTTAGTAGCACGTCGCTCATTGCGTTTTGTCACTGATTCTGCTTTGTCTTTGCTGTGCTCTTTCCTGGAGGTATGGCCGGTGCCAAAGTCACTAGCCTCCAATGAAGTTTGTAATGAGTCACTACTTTGGCAACATGAGGCTTTAGGCATTGGATTTGTGGCGTTTACCTCCTTTCCCATTGCATGTAGTTTTAACGCAGATTCCTCTGAAGTGTCTTCCTCGTAACTATTTGACTTTTCATCAACGCTTACGGCGGGTTGGTAGTCAGTATGTTCTTTGCTTCTCGGATTGTCGTTTACGATCTCAAAACATTCTCCTCTCTCCACTGTCGAACTTTGTTCATTGATAACGTCTGCCTCGGGGACCACAAACTTAGACACACTCTCCTTTCTCTCTAACGCCAACCAAGTCGAACATCCATTAGACGAGGGCTCATCATTGTTTAACGATGTCCTGGATCTTTCCTTTCTTATTTCCAATTCAGGATTGGAAGAGACATGTTGCTCAGTATATCTAATGTCATCTGCCGCTACTTTCTTGAATTGCACAGAATGGTCTTCATGGGCGTCATCCTTCAAATCATAGTATGGAGCAGGTGCAACAGAGTTACTCCTCTTTTTCAACCATTTCCCTAGAGAAGTGCGCGGCCGTTGTTTTCTTTCATAGATGGGATTAATCCCGCTTTCAGTTCCATCGACCCTGGACTTCTCTTTCAGCTTTGCGCTGCCCTCTTGAAAGTCATGATTACCGCTGATGATCTTGGCGCAGACATTTCCATCCAGTACAGTTCTACCTGTTGGTTCCTTCTTGTTGGTCTCACCACCTTGTTTCTCTACGTTTTCGGAAGCACCGTCACTAACAACTCGATTTTTTCTCTTATTTTTCTTATTCTTTTTCTTCTTTGGAAGGTTCGAACCAGATTTGTTGTCGTGTGTTGGAGAACTTTCGCCCTCCATGATTTGACGAAAGTAAGGATTGTCACCAACCAAATGTATTGGTATGCTTCCCGTGGGGCCATAAAAGGAAGGTTGTCGAACTTGGATCAGTGGCTTTCCCACAGTGGAGAAGATGTCTGGGAGACAACTTCTTCCACGTGAGTGGCAATCCTCCCCTGCTGCTGTCTTTTTTTGCTCTAGTTTACCAGGTCGTGGCTCCTGGGCGGCACTAAAGCAGGGCAAGGTGTCTTGCTTGTTCAAGACATGCTCATGTATCTTCCCGGGACCTTCTCCTACATTTTTCTTTTGTGAATCGTTTGCGGTACCATCTTTAACAAACCTGCTCGCCAGAAAAAAACTTGAGGAATCTGGCATTTCAACTGGGGGGAGTGAGGCTTGACATCTGCAAGAATCGAGCCTCGCGTCGGCGAATCTCGTTTGTGGTATATTTCCTACATTGCCAGGGGGAAGGAATTTTAAATCCTCGACGTTATCAGACAGGAATTCCTTATTTCTCCCTATTATATGTTCACCGTCTTTGCTATCCCCCAAGAAGGACTCTTCACCGGCCACGTTTGTGGATTTCACTGATCCGGTACACTGTGAGTGTTTCTTGATCACTTCAGTCTTGAATCCAGACTCATCCTGTAGGAAAACAACTTTATTCTCTTCCTCCATTCTCCTCGGAGAGTCGCTTCCACGTTCCACTCTTCCACTACGTCTTCCGGTGACAACATAATTTTGTAAATAACCAAAAAAGGAAACGAATCTATCCATTGTAAACAAATTTCAACCAAGAATTGAAATCGCGAATTTTTCCTCGTAAGCTCACGAAGATGAGTTTTTGCTCTATGACGTCATTAATTGCATGTGACACCAAATGAACCGAGCACGTGCAATTTAAGAGAGGTAGAGTATCAACGGTAATGCTTTCGGCCGAGATGAAATTCTTGAATGAAAGTTGAATATAAAACTACAACTGATCACACGTTTACAAAGTTTTTTCTCCATTCGTAGAAATACAATACTCCAGATCGCCCTCGCGAGCATCATGCTGATATCTTTAAGTTTCAAAGTGTTCGCAAAAAGTGGCTATTTAATCAGTCAGACAGAGGCAGTCCTAACAAAAGCGTTCCGACACGTTCTCCCTGGAAAGTTGATACAAAATTCCAAACCTTGTCGTCCGCTATTGTTCATAGGTAAATTAAAACACTTTATCCCAAATGATCTTTACCTGGCTAAAATCGCCATAGCCCTCGGAGGCACCTATTAAGCACAGACCATAACCGAAAATCGTTAGTTCACAACATTCCAATTTCTCTTTCCGATTTCCACGGCCGAATAGATCTTTCACAAATGTAAGGCGCATTATTTTCCGCTCGTCAACTAAGATTTGTCCCCAAAAAATTTCTTTGACACCTGTTTCTCCATCGGCACCAGAATATTTTGCTACTGATTTTCGTCGCGTCGAGACTTGAAAGTTTGTCTTCCACGCAGTTCTAGTTAAGTTCTTCTTAAGACAAAACTGGCAGCCATAACATACCTTTAGAATAAATTACTTCTAAATAAAGTACTTTATCCATATCAAGTAGCCAAATCATCAAAACATCCCTTCTACATCCAGATTATATTTTCAGATATTCATCCTGTGTACATATTTATAAATTAATCATATCACAGAAAATAACCCACGTGAGGTGCTGAGAAACGAGAACGTTTTATGAATTCCGAGCCGAAGGCGAGAGATTTTTCGAATTTTTTCTCCCATGCCCCCCGAAGGCTCCTATTTAGTAGAGACCATAACCGAAGTCGTTACTTCACAACATTCTGATTTATTTCTTCCGATTTTATATTTTATATAACCATCATACTAAGTGGGTTTTACGACGGTGAATCAATAGAAAGTACAGTCACGTGATTTTATAAAACAGCTTTTTTTTTTGAAAAGTCAGAGTGTGATTTGTGTATCCGCTATTTCATAGATGTAAATATGTTGCATCAGGACTACCTGAGACCAAACGATTCATATATGAAGTCAATAAATATTAACACTAATAAGCAGTGAAAGCCTTTTGTGTTACATGGACCTGAATAGCAAGGTTGTTCATGAAATGGTAAAATTACTTTATTAGCCTCCGTTGTCAAGAGGGGAAAAACATCGCAGCAAACCAAATTGAGCAATGCAAGAGTATGTCTGAATGCTGTATTAATAAACACTAGAACAATTATCTATGGTTGAAATTGTCGTTATATTTTGAGGTCTGTCGTCTTCAGGAGAAAGGTAGGAACATCATTCTGGGAAAAAACGTCTTTCTGCGACATCTGAGCTCCAGGGAAATAAGTTTGAAAGAGGCAAAATTTAATGGGACAATCATTTAGCTCTATTGTGCGCCCACTGAGATTGGCTGTTTGTTTTCTTGAATTTCTCCATGCGAAAGTAACAGCCAATCAGATGCGCTTAACATATCCCTGGGCATCGGTGTAGAATTATTCGTACAAGCTTTTACAGAAAAACGAAAATATCCCCACTCAGCCCAACAGTGAGGTAGATTTGAAAATAAATAATAATTCGTAATCTTTGGAATACGAAACTAATCCCAAAGACACTTCGCACTCAGACACTTCAAAACTATGGCGTCGACTGCCCGGGAAAAAGGGCTGTTATTTCAAGGATAGGTCGCCATCGTCAGTTGAAAAAAGGAGGTACACCCGTCGGGAAAGTTCGGGTCCAATTCTTCGACTACTTGCCAGTACTCCAGCGCCACGACGGACCTGAAAAAGAAAAAAAACATAAGTCTAACTGTGCGTGGAAAGCAAGGGATCATTGCAATTAGGGATGGGGAGTATTTTGGACAGAACACAAGCTTTGATTGATGTACAAATAAAGTTATCACGAAACCCGTGAGAAATTTCAATTTTACTATCAAAGCAAACTGGAGAGCGAAATATTTTCTAATTTCTGAGAGCTTACCAAGATGTCTTGAAGAAGTTTAGAAGCTTCCTCTCTACTGCTACAACCTTGATAGGCCTTAAAAAATATATCATTACGTTCATTATTAAGATTCAGAATTTCTTACGTGATAGAATATAATATCAATAGCAACTAAAAATTAAGTAAGTTCACAAGATCTACGACTGTTAGAGTGCGAAAACACTTGATGTAGGCGAGATGACAGCATTTACAAAAAAAAGTCATAAAAAAAGGTAAAACAACAAGATGCAGTACCTTGATGAGACTCTGTGGAGATGGGTAAACGTTCGTAATGGCGGCCGCCATCTCCGCTGAAACATTTCTCAACTGTTGAAAATGTTTCTGCCAGACTTTCTTCAAACCCTCACCGTCTTTTGACACCTGCAGAAAGGAACAACCTCTTGGCAAACAGCTACAATTGAGAGATAGTGGAGAATTTGAAAGACGTGAGATTTAAGGAAAATTGATGAAAACGGTTGGCAGATAGCAATGACGGGAATATTCTGGTGACATCTTCTCGGCCTAAAATGGCCCAAGTTTAGTTGACCCATCAAAGATTTTAGTGCCACCATCTCAACCCACACTATTTTTCAAGATTCTCCTGAGTGGAGAGGAGCACTGTTCAAGTTACATATTTTACCCAAGAACACAACATAATATTCCTGCCTGGGCTCAAACAAGACGTTTTCATATGGAGTACAGCGCATCAACCACAAGGACAGCGCATCTTCCTCAATACAGAGCATAGAAGCATTATATCTACTTGCCCCACCCTTCACTCCCTATGATAATCCCAACTGCATACTAATCCCCCCCTGTAAAATCATGAAACATGTGCTGAGACAGAGTGGAGAGTATTTATTGATGACAATGGGCTTCAAAGTGTACCTTCACAGATCTTTTCTGTCCTTCCACACAGAAAGAAAATACTTCCGGTTGTTTTTTCCTATTAATGCAAAATGTGATTTTAATTCTTTAACCTCTAACAGAACATGTGGCAATAGACACAAGGAATCAATGCAGACGTGATCTTACTTAAACGGTGCTTCAGCAACAGCTTTAGTTAACATGGCCAACAGATCAGCAAACTCCTCTTCAGTTTCACACATGCGTATTCGGCAGTCAGGCTGTTTTATTTGTAAGTCCACAAGAGCTTCTTCTACATCAACCCTTGACACCATAACACTGGGTACAGATTCTTTGTTTATTTTCTTTCGTCGCTTACTGCTGGAATTATCATTATCTGAGGAGCTTTTCCCAAGAACAGCTTTTCGAAACTGGTGTTTTTGAGCGAGTTTAACATCTCTTTAGAGAAATCAAAGAAACAAGAGTGACAATTTACTTTTAGCCTTGTGAAATCTTCCTTGATGCAGCCCATAAAGAAAAAAAACAAAAATCCAAGAAAGGTGCTCTTTACTATTAACACTGCAAGGTACCATGGGCACCTACTGGAAGTGCACTTTGTAAAAGGTATAATTTTATTATTCTTACTTTTATTCTTATTGTTATTATTCATTATGGTAATGTTAATGTTGATAGTGATAATAACAATGATGATGATGTCAATTATTAACATTATTATAAATTTCAAAAAGACACACCTGAAATACTTTTCAAGACCCATGACAATTAAAGTGATGATTTTACCAGGGTAAATTGTCAGGGCTCTTTCAAAGAATTCAGTCAAAGTTTCTTCATCAGAGATAACAGATACTGCTGGATTTTGAATCTCCTAAATGAAAACAATGGAAACAAAAAAAAAGGATTTGCTGCAATCATGTTGCTTTCAGGCCCCACAACACAAAGAGGATAAAATTGTCAGTCTGCAATCATAAAGAGGATAAAAGTTTACAGATACTGATTCCTGTTTCCTTATTTGATCTCACCTCACAAGATCGTAAAACCATTTCCACAAACTTGACTACTGACAGACAAAGTACTGCATGGTTTTCATCAGTGACAGTTGTTCTCGTGGAAATCTAACAAGAAGGATAAAAAAAAAACACCAAAAAAAAACTATAAGACAGAGAACTGTTTCAATGAATACTGAGTCAATTCCATTTTTATTGTTTGATATTTCAATTTCTAAAGAACACTCACTTAAAATTGTCTCTTGAGCACACTGTAAACTACAATCTTATTACTACACAAAACAGAGCACATAAAATCAAAATACAAGACACAGAACTTAGAGTGATCCCAAATCCTTTTATCAATTATTTTTTTTCTATTTCTTTCTTTTCTTTTCATTTTTCAAGGAGAAGAACTGACATAGAAATGAGCCTTCCCCATCCTAAATTGTGTACATATAAAAGTACCTGAAGTGTCCCCTCCTGTACATCATGCTGCACACAAGCTCTCTGCCATGTAATACTGCTGGGAAATAGCTGTGATTTTATCTCATGACCTGCTCCCAGTGTTTCTAATCTTTGAAGGAGAAGATTTTCCCCAGCAAGCTGACAACAGCTCACTATTTCATGATCAATGCAAACCACTATTTGCTGTTCGAAAGAATTTTAAATAAAGCACTTAATCATGACAAAAAGTTGGCATTTACCAACACCTGTACCTCAAAAGGATGAAAATGAAAATGAAAAGAAACAAAATACACATGCAACATTTAACCTTTAAAAGAATATATGTAGTAGTATGAAGCAACACATTTTGGGACTCAAGAAAAACATTTTTTCCCCATACAGTACCTTGATACAGCCATCTAATCGATTGTTTGATTTCTGATTCATTCTATCTGCCTAAACAAGAAATAAAGCACAAAACAATAAATATAGCATGAAACCTAATGTAAATCCACAAAAAATAAATTTAAGAGGAATAATTTTTTTGCATTCTTCCGACTAATTTCCTCTCCTTAATGCAAAACAGAAGATTCAAAGGCTTCCTCATTAAATGTTTACACTTTAACTTAAGTACCTACATTCTTCTTTCATTCTTTATACATTTCTTAAGGTACTGACAAGGAGAATTTATTGAACAATCAGGTGCTTCTTATGTTGGTGATCATAATTATCATCCTTGTAATGATTAGCTATGATTCCACAATCGTCAATTACGTAATTTCCGTTTTGAGTTAAGTGTCATAAGGTCAATGAAATTAGAGAGAAGCTTAGTTATCCTCAGACACAGTCCATTAAGATCAAAGCTACAAGATTAAGGCAGTAAAATAATAAGAATTCTAACCCAAGAAAAGAGGTATGATTTTGCCTACATAATTTCTATTTGCATGTTCTCAGATTATATTTGTTATCATGGTTATTGCACGTGATTTAATTCTAAAATAGTATTATCATGTATGCTCTATGTGTACAAGTTATTTCACAATAGCACATGTTATGTATAGTTTCTAATTGTTCTTAATAGTATGTTATGCTGCAAATTACCTTACAGTTTTTTACATTTTCAAGTACCATACCCCAAGAATAAAAGATAATCAATAAGATACAAAGATGAGTGCTTGAAGTCAGTAAATCTCCACCTCCGACCAGATATGTTTATACCTTGAGAACCTAAACCCGCTACAATCCTCCTGACCTTAGTGTTTGATTCAGTCATGATACTGTTGGGAGAAAATCACCATCACTTTTCATTCTTAGGGTGAACCAGTTGGCCAGATTTTTTCACAGTAGGTGTTGGGACCATACAACTTCATAGGGTAGATAACAGAGCCCCTTGAGCAAAAAGGACTAGTATCCAAAATGGATGGACAAGATTTTTCAGATCCCAAAATTTCATTAACAAACCATTTTCAGTAGTTTGTCCCTGTCCTTCTGAATTTTCAACTGTTCCCTGGCTTGTTTTCTGGCATGTTGTTCTTTTTCCTTTGCTTCTTTCTTTGTTTGTTTTTCAAGTTTTTTTACTTGTTTCTTAAGCTATAAATTGAAAGTGAATAGTAATGCAAAGAATTATAAATATTTTAAAAACTGTTACTGTATAATTGCAAAATAATTGCAAAAATGATTCAGGATTTTGACAAACTGAGATGTTGAAAATGGAGATTGGAGCTTAAAGATTATCTCCCAGTTTAGTTTCTACACTCCTTATAACTGTTCCTGACATAACAAATGACATAGTGATACTTACATGAGCTTCATTTCTCTCTCTTGTAATTTTGTGTGGTGACCCTTTCTTTTTCTTAACAGGGATTTGAGAATCATCCTGAGAGTCAAAGTTGCTTCCTAGAAACTGAGAATCCCTACTTTTATAATCATCTGTGCACGAGTTTGAATGTGATTTAGCAGACAGGGTGCCCCTATTATCTGTGTGTAAAGATGGTAGAACACATGGAAGATCATCACTATCAGAGCTGTAATCATCAGATTGAGAGCAATCTACAAATATTTCTCCACTTCTCTTGAAGTACTCCTCTGCAGCTTTCCTGTTCTCCTTTGGTGGCATTTGATTGCTTGAGTTTGTAGTTAGTGTTTTAGCAGCAGGTGAATGTAAAGTGTAAACATCCTGAATATCCTCTTGCTCATTATCATCAGAGAAGGAAAGATCAATTATCGAACTTCTGCATTTGACCATTGTTTTCCTTCCCGTTGCCTTTCCTTTTACATGGTAAGAGGTAACCTGTGCACTAACAGATGACTCTAGAGCTTTTGACCCCTTTTGAGGACATTTTCTAGATTCCTTTTCATTCAGCCTGCTCCTTAGGGCACTGAACAAGCTTTTTCTCTCTTCAATTGCTACAATGATATCATCATCATTACTATCTGCATCAATGTCACTGGAATCATCTTTAATTTCTAAAACATTTGCTTTGTCAACAGATGGCTCTGATTTCTCAAAATTCCTTATATTAACCAGATTTGCTCTGGTATGATCCTTGGCTTTGCTTTCATCATCAACATCAATAGTAATTACGGCAGGAAACTGAAAAACAAAGAAGTCTCCACAGGTATTTATTGTGAATATTAATCTCTATTAATATGAATCTAGACATCAATGACGAGAGGCCTGGACTGGGTACAGGCAAGGTGCCTATTAGTATTTTCCCTTTCCTTAAAATGGAGCAATTTGTTCAGCATATCAGTCATAAGACTTGGGTAGAGCCAATGGCTATTCACCACGCTAACGCATTTCAATTGCAAAATTACTTTCGTATATTACTGCTTAGGCATCTGTGGACATGTTATTTATAATCTAGCGAGTAAGCAAGTAACAAGTTTATTTCTAGCTTTAAGAAAGTTTTAGTTTCCCTCCCACCCACATCATCAACACTTTTGATTGTATCTTAAACTCATTTGTGTTTGTAATTTATTCGTGATTACTGGATCGTTGGTTTAGTGCATTTGTCAAATATCTTTTATGTAATAGTCTAGTGTGTTATTTATGTAGGATATATACATTTAATAAACTGTCTGGTCCCAAAACAAGATTCTGTCTGTTGTGGTGTTTAGTTGGAGACTCATTAAACAGTTCATGGAATAATATACAGTATTTTATGAATTTCTTTCTTTCAAATTTGACGCTTGGACATTCGGCTATGTCTTCAGTTGCTCGCACAAAATGTAAAGGAAATGACAAAGAAAGATTTGTAAACAGAGTAACGTTTTAAAAAAAAAATCGAATTTGTGAAAGTAGGCACAGGTACAGTCCTGATCAGCAGTTAAAATAGAAAAAACTCATTATCAAATCATACCTAAAAGAAAATTCCTACCAATGGAGTAAATTAAACGATTTTTATGTTACAAACGATGGTTCAAACTTTTAAGATCGGTTTCCGGTTTGTTTTCCTTTTAATACCATACTGACCTGACCATCCAGTATCCTGTTAACAGTTTTCACTGGACTTCTGGTGATTTCCAAATCTTTAGCTATATCTATTGGATCAACATCTGGATAGACTGACAATACATTTTCGATCATAGTATGTGCTACAGTCTTTCTACTAAAAGGAGAATAAGGCAGATCGTCCTCTTCATCCTCCATTATAGATGGCGCGCTTTTTTGAAGAACCGCTGTTTTCATAAAGTGTGGGCGTCGATGAGCTGAAGGTAGGGAGGGGTGGGGGAGGAATAAACCGAGAGTGTTCTTATTTTGTTCCAAGCTTTACGCGGATTACGCTGGGGGGAAATGCGAGAGAAACTAACTGCAATCCTAGAAATTCATATCAGACACATTCTGTATCCAGTTTTAAGTGCATATGTCTTATTTTACAGGGCATTGTTTCATCCAAAGTGTGACCATTAATCATTCATTTGTGCTATTGGTCAGGACTGGCAATATTTGCAAGTCCCAGACTCCCTTGCCAAGCAGTGAAGACTAATCAGTTTTTAAACTTAGTCAATTTTTACGTCTAACGGCTCCATTTCTTTGGCCGTTTTACGGCTACCGATTAACTCTATTGAGATCCTCTTATAACTGGAAACAGTCATATGGCTTCCCACCTCTTCTTTATCGAAAACCGGCTGGTTAATAAGATTCGTGAAGTTGGTTTAAAAAAAAATGGAGCTCAAATAAATCGAGTATATTTTTTTATGGACAACATGGTCAAAAAGTTGCCCAGTGAAGGAAAAACATTAACAGATGGATAAACTGACTGAACAGCTTTTCACTCAGATTGTACCGCTTAGTGATAGAAGGCTAATCTCAACTCGAGTGAATGACTAAGTCGAGCTTGGTTCTACGTTATCAATAAGGCTTTGATTTCATAAATTACTAAGCTTCCGTTAGGAAGTATGTATTTAATCCAGAGAAGAAAAGATTTATCACTAAACTCACATTCTAACTAAATGCCTCTTCCTTTAAAACTTCACCCAGTCGCAAAAAGTCTTCCGTTGTTTAGAATAAACTGAATCAGTCATTTTTGTCGCTATTTCACAACGAGAAGTTGACTCAAATTAAATAGCAAAGATTTAAGCGAAGATCTGAAGTTATAAAATTCTAGGCTTAGTGCTAAAGATAGCTTCCTCGGATATGACGAACACATAAATACTTTCTTACGTTTGAGAATCAACTGAATTTATTAAGGCACACTTACAGTGCTCGAGGCAAAACCAAAATCTAAGAAATGAATAAACTTGTAAGTATTAAAATGCCCTGTGGTGTTATCATGGGAGGTAGAAATTATTTTATTTCGGAAATGATAAACAGAAGTTATCAAGCGGCCTTGAAACGGATAATGACACTGATTTCTTCACAAAAGGCAAATTAAAACGTGGCTTTCTATTGCAAACAGCATAAAGTTAAAAAAATAAGAACAGCGTTGTTTTGTATGGTTTAAACGGAGGGATTTGCACTGTGATTGGAGAAAAGGCTGTCGAGTTTGGAAATATACTTTTCAAAGAAAGGAAGCGAATATGTGCTCATTAGAAACCCAACTTGAATATGATTACCAAAGCTCTTCACAATATCCGTCATTGAAGACTTCTTTTTCATTCAAGAGGAGTTTATAAACCTTGAAAATTAATGTAAATGATAAAAATGGGCTGGGAAGAGTTTTTATTGAATAAATTCTTTAAAAATTTTTCATTTAACGAAAATGTTAGCTATTTAGAGAAATTGGAACTATTTGTTTGAAAAAGATGGAAGCAATAGAAATTATGATGCGGATGTTTGGGCCGGTAAATAAAATGTGGCCTATGAACAAAGGAAATCTCTCTTTTCTTTTACTTCCACTGATTAATATCGGGCACAAAGAAATGATATTGAATGAAAAGGCGGAGTAGTAATTGTCGATAGGAATAAATAAACATACTTGTTAATGAGGTTTCACCGGATGCCCTTTAAACTGCTAATTGTAACCAGTGGGAGAACGTTTGTTCCGCGTCAGCCGAGAAGAACATTTTATTTAATGATGATAAGTGAGACTGTAATTAAAAATATAATTGAAGTGTTGACAGTGAAAATGCTTGGAGGGAATTGTATATTAAGAGCAGTGTTTTCAGCCGAGGCTCACTTTCAGTCGGTGCCATCAACACGCCACATTTTGTAAATCTGCTTCCGAGACGATTTTTCATTGACAAGGAACAGGAGTGAATGCTCAGGTAAGAAGATTGTGTGTGATAACATTTCATTTACAATGATGTTTGAGTATTTGTTTTTTGAGTGTTTTTTTTTCGCATGGGCATGCTCTTGCCTTTCATTATCTGACTGCCGAGCCAAGTTTTTAAGATGATTCAAAAATGCTTACCATGAGCTCAAAGATGATGTTAGATGAAAACGCTTTCACCATTTTTTTGTGTCATGTGTGCTCTATTTTGTGAAGCTGGTCTGTTCAATTGGATAACACCCAACTAAAACTTGGTTTGTACCACGATTTTTTTTTCTATTTTTTATCATTTCTAAACTACATAAGATAAATTCATGCTTCGCGTAAGAACAAAACAAAAAAGAAAAAAATAAAGAAAATAGACTTTGAGAGCCATGTGTTATGCTTAGGAAGAAAAAGTAAAGTTCCCTTTTTGCGGACCTCATGAAATAACAACTAATTTTTCATCAGATATTTTAAAATCTTCGCTGCTTTCTTGTGTAATTATTTGGTCGTTTGCGAGTACTAACGATATATTATAACAATAGTTTAGAGCACATGTACAGAATTTGTCACGACAAAGTCGCATTGTTCCTGGAAATCCTCTGATTTTCTTCTTGATTGCCATCTCTTGGCTAAATGGGTACCACCCAAACCAGATATTGAGTATTAATCGTTGTGAAAGTTCCTATCAACGATAAGATATTTTCAAGCTTTTGTGTTTGCGTCTTTCCCTTTTACTCTTTGTGTCAATTAGGTGCAAAATTCCTTCTTTTTTCATGTCACTTATTTGACTTTATCATTCCTGTTAAAAGCGCTAAAATTTGGTGATTACATCTTTATTCTCGGGATTTAGTTTTGCTCAAAGAATTCTCCTGCTTTTGTCTGGTTTATACTGAAGACAAAGTAATGAGTTTCCCACAATATGGAACACTTATTTTGAAAACGGTCATTAAAGATGGAGAAATATATACAAAAAAAACAAGTATCCTTAAAAGTAAAGAAATTGTTAGTGCTTTATTTTATCTTAATATCCAGCTGCCAGAGTAAATCTATCGCGCACTTGCCTCCAAGGTCTTAATTAGCGACTCCTGATATTGTACAGAAAAATTTGGTGCGAGCCTGATAGGCTAGTGGACCTTGAAATAATGGCCATTGTAACCATTAATTATAAAAAGACGAAGAGACCTAATGTTTGTATGTATCTCTTTACAGGTCAATGATGTTTTTAAGACTTGCTGTCTTATTTTGTGTGGTTTGCTTAGCAAGCAGCGAAAAAGAGAAAAACTCTGAGGATCCGCCCGGCTTACTTCAAGCATTAAACTCTAAATATTTTGGTCACATCAGGGGCAAAAGAACGGTTAGTACATGATCGCTCTGTTAACATCTCACGTTACAGCCTGTAACCACGCACTGATATAATGATACAATACGCCTCGTGATTTTCATCCTATGAATTAGATCAAAATCGAAATTTTGAAGAAAAGGAGTTCCTTTTTATTGAAATCTTATGTTGTACTCAGATAAAAGGTCGGTGAAAGAGACCTCTATACCCAGCCATGGAAAAAAAAAATCAGTTCTCATAGTAAAACAAAAGTCTTTTTTCGTGAATTTTTCCGACTGTAAAGAGGATTTCAAAGAATAGTGGCTAATGGGGGCGGCTCTACCATGGAAAATACACTGAATATCTATTTTTTTAAACTGTGCATGGTTTCCTTGTGTCTCTGAGCACTGATTTGCTTACATTCAAATACCGACAGGTACTATTTTAGTTAATCAGCTTCTAGTGTAAATGAAAAAACTCTCAATTAATTTGACATTTCACTGATCAAAACGAAAGGTACTTTTTACTTTTTTCGTTACAGATTATTCAATTAACTCGAAGTTCTCTTTATTTTAAAGGGCAAGGATGATTATCCACCCTTGGAACAGGCACTTAATAATGCTTATTTTGGACATATTCGTGGAAAAAGAACGGTAATGCCTGGCTTTTACTATGACAGTCCAGTGACTGCTTGTTTAAAGCAATCTCTTATTCGCTTAGTTTTGGCAGTGTTGAGCAACATATACACTATACAGCCGCTTGAGAAATGTGCGTTTTTTTGTCCAACTAGAAATGTTTTTGGATGAGCTTTAGGGATTTTACACCTGAACTGCAAGTCCTTAATGTCATTTGTTATTATTTCAGCAATCAGATGATTATCCGCCACTAGAGGAAGCTCTCAATTCAGCATATTTTGGACATATTAGAGGAAAGAGAACGGTAATTGTTTCTTTGTAGTTAAGAACATGATAACCAACGGTGAATGGGATAATAAGTTCCCTGAAGAACAACAAATTCAGCTGAACCGAACTTAACCCTGTCAAAGAGAGGAAACAATAACCAAAGATTATAACTGCAGTTGCCTCATTTAAGAAGGAAACATTCGTCAATGACTGTTGCCTGTTTTGACCTTCATGGTTCACATTACAATCTGGATCATAAGAGTTGAAAATCTGCGAAAATTTTCTCGTTTCCTCTTTGCAGTTCGCCTGAAGCATGGGAAAACCATGATAAGAGTTTCGAAATTTCTATATTTGATTTGCTGAACCAGCCACTTAGGTGCAGGATAAGGCATAACAAATGTAGTGCCCTGCCGGAAATCTTTTATCCAGCTTAATAACAGAGCTGATAGTCAAGCAGGTGAAATGACTCCCAGTTCACTTGATGGACGTGCCAACTTCTCCTAACAAGCATTGTATGAATCCTGTAATAATCAGTTAAGAGAATCTGCATTTGTTTTGCTTTACAGCTTCAAGGTTAGGGTTATAATCCTGCGCTTCGTGAAGCACTCAATAGGCAGTTTTTTGGCCGCTTTCGGGGAAAACGGACGGTAAGATGAAAAGTGAACAGGCTGGCTAAGGCATTTCGCGTCGCATAAATGAACTTAAATGAGAGTGGTATGCTCCTTTAAACTTTGGCCACCGCTGCATTGTGTGTTTGTTTTGCAGGGAGGCTGGGGATCAAACAAAGATTTATTGGAGGCCTTAAACAATGCTTACATGGGACACATCCGTGGGAAACGACAACAGGTACTAAATTGTGCTGACTTTGAAACGAGTAGGTGTAGCTAATTAAACACATTTGATTTGTTTTTTCGTTCAATGTAGGTATGATAATCTTGTAATAGTTTATTTAATAGTTTACTGTATGATAATCTTGTTTCTTTTCTCTTTTGAATTTTTTGTAGGAAACAATGGATAAGTCAGTTTAATGACCACCCCTTGAAACCATGCCATGAAATTGCAATCGAAGACACTGCCAGTGACCATTAGAAAACATAATATGTACTACTGCCATGAAAACTTGCTGAATGCCAAAAAAGTATATTTATTTCCAGAAGATGTGTTTCATTACAGATTTTTAATGAATGGGCAAAGTGTCAAATAAAGTCGGAACATTAGATTATGAAATAAGTGAAATGAATAAAAGTTGAGCAAAGAGACTACAACATCTTGTGCTCTCTTAAAAGTGTTTTATCCTTAATGATTAAGTTAAAAAAAGACAGTTTAGCGATAAATAAATTTCATTTTAAGGTATGCATTGTATATATGTTAGGGTTCAATTTTATCCTTGGTTCATATTTTCTTTTCCTTTGTTTCAGACTCATTATCATATATTACAATACCCAAAAACAAAAGAAGATAAAATTTTAACCAAGGATAAAATTGAACCACAACATATACATGAAACAAAAGAAACGATAATTCCGACAGCATACCTCAGATATGTTTCGAAGGGGCGCATTTCAATATTTCCTAATTTTTATCAACTCCTTGAAAAATTTTGACGCATTTCTGGTGTTAAACGGTCTGCATCACCGCAAATCGAACTTACTTCGCTCCAGAAATGTAAACTTTCATCATTTATTCACTTATTTAGTTTTGTTAATCGAACAGCACTCACTCAGTATTTCCCATCTGTATTTGTACAAAACATAATCAATCAGTTTCCTTCTTGTTAACTATTTCCATCTACTCGAGGCGGACTCGGTGATCAACATCAATTTATCCTAGTCCCGTTCTGGTGACGTGATCCCATAATCATGTTTTGCCCGAAAGCAGGAATGCCTTAAACTACGATTAAAAAGCAAACACGATCGGTACTTGTACAAAATATACGTAAGCTGTTTCCATCTTCCTAACCATTTCAATCTGCCAGTTGTTTGTATTTCGTGATGCATTTTTTTTGTGAGGCTGCGGTCCCTACCCGATCGTAACAGACACGTGATCAACAGAGCTTTGTCTAGGCTCATTAGTTTGTCACAGTTCGGGTTCTGAGCCTGCACTCATGATACCGCATAATGCAAACTTTCCGCCTTTTACAATCTTAAAACTTAGTTTGTGGCTTCCTGGTTTTACTAGACGCGCTACATTAACGACTCGTGTAAATCCATATGTGGAATACGCATCAGCATAGACGCTGTTGTTACGTTTGTCCAATGAAACTTCTGCTTTTCCTCCATAACCGTTTGTTCGGAAGGCTATAAGAACATCTCTAGTTTGATTATCCCCAGGAATGCCATTAAAAGGTAAATCAATTCGTAGTTGTAAAATAGAGTCTACTTTCTCTGCTTCCCATCCACCAAAACCATCAGTCCGCACAGGCCCGAGTTTATTTTCCCATGAACTGCTTCTATAAACACCGATAGGTAGATTTTGAATTCGTTTAAATCCCGTATTTTTTATTTCTGTGACAGAGAGGGATGGATTAAAGAAAGTGCTACTTACGTCGGGTGTGAGGCGAGTGTAACAGAGAGGGCCTGGAACAGATCCCCCTTTGCCCGCAAAATAAACAGGTCTCGGTAAGTCGACAAATCGTAAATAAAATAGCCCTCGATTGGTATTTGTTATGGTGTTTGATAAAGCTTTACGAACGCTATTGATTATCATTAAAGCGATTTGTGCATGGGCAATATTACCACTATGAACTCCATCCGCAGTGAAAAACGCTGGAATTTGTCTCTCTCGATCATCTGAACATAACGACTCGCGCATGCTGAAACTTGTAATGCCATAATGCCAGGCTAGCATAGTCTGCCCGTGATTTTCCAGGTTGTCACACATGGGAATTTTATTATTTCCGGGAGTAAAATTGACATATGCCACTGCCGAGGAAGATTTTTCCCTAAGTATCCGCCTCGTAAGTTTTTCAAGAGATGACGCTCTTGGCTTTTGAGAGTCCTTAAATTGAAGATAATCGTTTATTGAAAGCTCAAGGAGGATAATGTCTGGGCTATCTTTAGGTCTCATCAAAGTTTTGTAACAATAATAAAAAAAGTCGCTAGCAGTTCCTCCAACGGCGAGATTCTGCAATTTGATGCGAGATCCAGTAAAAGGTTGTATGGCCTTCTGCCACCAATCGACAAACACACGATAATAAATTCCTTTTAGATTAGAGAAATCGTTGATTAATCCACCTCCAGCCGATGTTGATCCACCTATTACAATAAGGCCAATATCTTGACCGAGTAGAACTTTTTCCATAAGATTTTTAAGACGATATTCTGTTGTTCGTCGTTCAACAATCTGGTTGTTATACTTTTCCGCCGTAAGGAACAAATCTTCCAAAGACTTCAACTTATCCTTGAAGTACCAAACTTCGAACGGATTTCTTTGAATCGAACGCTTGAGATAGTAGATTTTGGTCAGCTTCACTGCAGGTGGTTTGTTTCTTACTTCAGGCTGCTTGTTATGTAAACTGGAATGACAGTCTTTTCCTATTTGTGTTGATGTTGCACTGTACATAACTTGAAGGATTAAACAGATCATTTTATGGAACATTTTAGATTTTTGTCTCAGGTTTACGTGGAATATAGTTATTTTATATGTCAAGTTAAGTTTGAAAAGCTTTCAGCTTAGCTTAGTTAACCTGTCTTTAGTGTGTGCCAAAATTACAACCTGCAAAAAGTTTCAGCTATTATCGTAATTTGATGATGGGTCCCTTGACGATGACTTCAACTGCAGTAGACGGGTGAAGATCACTTGTCGATGTTACAGGTGTTTATCACACTAAGCGATCTTCAGTCATTGTTAATCGCCACAGATATTTTCACACTCAGGTTAATGACATTGCTATCATATCAAGATATCCTCCAGAGAAATATATTCTGGGCAATTTCAACTAAATTTAGTCTCGCTAGGCTAAGTCAGTCGCACCAGCAGCCCACGGCTAACCTCATAGCCCACTGCCTGAGGCCTCCGTTGTGTTCGCGTGCCAAGTAAAGGTCAGCGTCACCTCACCAAACTGGGGGACTGATATTATCAAAGTACCATAAGAACTCACCATCATTTGCATTGCATTGTAGGCGACGATGACCTTTGTTGGACAAGGCAGCAGGGCAATCGACTACGGACTGCGAGCTTTTAGGCTTTTTTAAAAGGCGGCAGGTCTGCTTTTAGCAAGACCCCATTTATTGGCCCAATTTCCATATAATCTATCAAAATAATCATCTCAGGAATGTGTCATTTGTAATTCGGTCCAGCCATAACACCCGATAAAATGAACACCCCTGGGGTTTCTGTTCTGATGCTAATCACATGCCGGCCGGGCATTACGTGACTGGCAATAGTGTATAGTTTAGTGTGACCAAACAGTGAATAAGTGGTGACTAAAATTCCTCTTTCTTCATGTTCATTTAACCACACTTTTGCCTGTCCACCGTTGCCGTGCGTTCGAACAGCTATTGCCACCTTTCGTGTCTGAGTTGCAGCGTCCATAATGCACTGCCTTGAGAGAGACGTGATTGGTAAAAGTATTTCTAATTCCAGCATTGAGTTTTTAGACTTGGACTTCCACCCGCCATAAGCATCTGTTCTGTGAGTCTGGATTTCACCAAATTGCTTAACTTCACATGTGGCATTAGGTAATACTACATTGTTGATAGCTACTTTCTGAAACCCCTCAAATCCAAAATTTCCAATTGCTTTTACTTGCAGACTTTGATGTGCTGTGATGTTTCTTGTACAGTCGGGTGTTATTTGAGTGAAACACCTGGGGCGTTCCCGCAGATTTTGACGGTAACTCATGAACAAGGTTTCTGGAAGATTTCTAAATTTTAGAGGACAGTCTGGTAATATTATCCTATCGCCAATTGATGGAAGTGACATTTTTTCAACAGTTACTTTCACTTTTTTGGTTGTGATTAAGCTTTCGAGCACTTTAAGAATTAATTGCCGCACATGGGTTATCATCATAAATGCCATTTGAGCATGGCCTATAATGCTGATGTGATTGCCGTCAGTTGCAAACATTTTGGAAAGCTTTTTCCGTTTTGCTGCAAAACCTGAACATAGCAACTTTCTCAAGCTAAACGTTGTTATTCCATAGTGTTTAGCGAGAAGTGTCTGGCCGTGGTTCTCCAAATTGTCACATTTTGGACGTCTAAGATCGCCTTGAACAAAGTTGACGAACATCACAGCGGGAGAACTTCCTTCGCTTAAAACTTCCCTAGTAAGTTGTTCCAGTGGCAGAGCCATTGGAAACATGGAGTCTTTAAACTGAACATAGTCATTCACGGTGAAGTCAAGAAACACAAGATCCATGTCAGTTTTAGGGTTCAAAAAGACACTATAACAAAAAGCATAAAAATTGCTGCTGGTTCCACCAATAGCGAGATTGTTAAGTTTCAAGTCAGAACCTGTGAGTGGCTGCACTGTTTTGCGCCACCAGTCACTTAAAACTCGGTAATAGAGGCCTCGTAAGTCTTCACCATCATTTGTCAGACCGGCACCTGCAGAAATTGACCCACCCATGACAGCGATGTTAATGTTCTCACCCTCCAGTGATCGTAGGATTACATCTTTGAGGCGATTTGTGGTGCCTTTTCGTTGGAATACGCCGCTGTCCCAAGGTTTGGAAACTATGAGCAAGTCTGCTTTGGACTTAAATCGGTTTTTAAAAAACCATGTTTCAAACGGATCTCTTTCAACAGCGAATTTTAGAAGTCTGAGCTTCACTGGAATTAAGTCCCCGTTCAACCTTGATCCGATAGAATCATCACGAGAATCAGTTTTGTGTTCCTGTCGTGAAATACTGGCCGCATTTCCCATGTAAAACCAGTGTGCAGTTTCCCTTTTGGTAATAAACACAGCCAACAGTAGCACAACGAAATGAGATTTCCAATCAAATCGCGACATCAAAGCTACTACACCAAATATTATTAGAACTGAGGCGACCATTAGATATACCATTTAAATCTGACACCCGAACATTTATTTGCAGTGTTACTTCATGGATTGCGTGATCGCTGTGGGTCAGTTTTAATTGACATTATATGGTTCCTGTCAAATAGAGAAAACTGTCACCTGCTAAGTACCTAACTGGATTATGAGACACTTTGTAGTTACCCGTTAAATCTATTTTCAACACAGCCGTCATGAAGACGGCCTCTGGAGATCGCCTCTAAGACTAATCGTAATCATATAAAACTTATAGGTGGTCAATCTTTAAAAGTAGAAAGAGCTCTAGTGGAAGATATTTCTATAAATTTCAAACAGCGAGCGTCAAAGAAACTTGGATTCTCAAAAAGGTTTTTCCACAGGAAGAAAAGATCTGTGTAACCCATAAATCTTGAACTTTTTTCCCCAGATTCTCGGTGTTTCCTTTAAGCCAATTATTCCATGTAGGCCAACCCTTTTCAAGAATTGCAAAACGAAATCCAGTCAGATTAACCGTATGAAAAGTTCATCGTATATGAAAAAATGAAAATTTGAGGGCTGGCTCCTCGTCTATTTTTTACCCCAGATCCCCACGGTATTTTAGATATATGTACCTCTAAGTTCAGTGGTCTTTGAAAGTGTATATTTAAAACGCCTCCACTTACGAGCTGTCAGTCGATGTGCATCTTCATCTTTGATCATGTTCTTGACATCGTAAGGCTTCGAAGTTAAGAACTGAAGTAAATTTTCATACATAGTTTATTTGCTGCAGATTAAGTGGCGATCTCTGTAAGAGCGGTCCAAGGCGTTTCGCATCGGAAAAAAGTTTTGCCTCAAACTTTGCCCCTTAAACTATCTTTTGTAGTAAGTAAATAAAACCACAATGGTTTCTGGATATACGTTAAAAATTTTTTTCAGGGCTCTTACAGCTCTAGGCATGTTGACAAAGGCACCTGTCTAATGGAAGTAGGCTTCAACACCACTGAAAAGGCAGGCGGCGGGTGATTGGAAACGTTGGAGAACAAAAACGAAAAGTTAGTAGAATGTAAATATTTAAAACTTTAACGGGTACCTTTGCTGTGCATAAAACTCCCTTAATAATAGGTTAGAAGTCCTTGATACCATTGTAGTGAGAGTTAAAAATTTAAATGAAAAGAGACGCACATGAATTGGAAGTATTATTTCGTTATCATCATTTTCTCTGTCACAGATTTTCCTTTCAGTTTGTCACAAATTGGACAGTTTGGCTTCCAACCTTTTTCAGACCAGTTATCACGAAGGAAATACAATGCTCTTAAAAGCTCAATCAAAAGAGACCCCTATGAAGTCTGGTATCACAAAGACAATTACAAATCCTTGGGGGACATGTCCATTACGCCTGAGATATATATAAAAGAAACTGTGGAGCGAGCATCAACCACACAGCGACTTCAAAATGTTATGGCAAAGGTTTTGCGCGGTAAGAACATTGGCTTCGTAGTCATGGGGGGATCTATATCTGCTGGCGGTGGATTAACCAGCGATTTTTCCAATCTGAGAGGGATATATTATCGAGTATTTATCGATTGGTGGCAAAAAGCCGTGCAGCCGTTTACAGGATCTGTCATCACACTACACAATTTAGCTCTTGGAGGGACTGCAAGCAACTTTTTCTCTTTTTGCTACAAAACCTTCATGAGACCTGGAGATACCATAAACATTGCACTCCTTGAGTTTTCTGTCAACGATCACATAGTTTTCAAAGACTCTCGACATTCGAGAGCGTTATCTCTTGAAAAACTTTCAAGGCAACTGCTAAGTGAAGAATCTTCCCCAGCAGTTATATTTGTGAATTTCATTGGTGGAAATAACGCAATTCCTGTGTGCGACAACCTAGAAAATCACGGACAGACTTTTCTCGCTATTCATTATGGTATTACCAGTGTTAGCACGCGTCAATCCTTATGTCCAAATTCGGGGAAGGTCCATGTTTACTCCATGTTTTCATCAGATCACAATCATGCTGGCATTTTAGCACATGCACAGATCGCAATGATGATTATCAACATCTTTCGTAAAGCTCTGCTAAAAGCCATAGAAAGTTCTGAACAGAACTTACAAAATCATTTAAGTTCATACCTATTACCAAAATCTGCTTTTTTTAAGGACGACACGGAAACTCTCCCAGACCCACTATGTTATTCTCTAATTACACCAGATGTAACTGACAGATTTTTTCGTCCTTCGCTTTATGTCAGGGAAATCGCAAATATGGGGTTTACGAATATTCGTGGTATTCCTATCGGGTACCGTAAAGAAACTGTTGTACAAACTGAACCCGCACCAGTGCGAAATGATGGTTACAGTGGATGGAAAGCAGAAGCAGCGTATTCTACATTAAAGCTACGATTTTTCGTACCTTTCTCAAGATCTGAAATAAGCAATACCGTTGTCATAGCGTTTCGCACCACTGGTGGAGGTGGAAAAGCAAAGGTGTGGTTGGATAACGACGAGGCTGGTGTTATGGTTGACACTTCCTCTAACTTTGGACACACAAGGCTCATCCCCGTCGCCCATCACGTGCCCTTTGGAAGTCACGTGCTGAATTTCAAGACAGTAAATGATGGGAAATTTGTGCTGTGTGGTGTAATGCTTGGAGCTAAAAGTCATCTAGTTAATGACATGAAGTAAATGCATCAAAGGAATTTCCTTTTTCCCATCACTGGCGAGATGAACTAATGTAGGAGGGCCACGCTGGGAATCGGACGATGAGAAATGAAAGCTGGATTATGTTTTTCCAGTTTCCTATTTCAAAACCAACCAAACCTTTGCCAATCCTGCTACTCTTTTCAATGGATTAAGTTACTTAGGCTGGGGCTGTTTGTGTTAAGTGGACAGAATCGACTGAGATAATTGCAGGTGTAAAACAGTGTACATAGGGCGCGCTTAATATGTAAAGGAACATCTCATGATAAAACTGTCTATGTTACAAATTTTGGATTAAAGTTAAATGTTCTTGCATAAAAGCTTTTAAATGAAGTCAAATTCATTAATGGCTATTCCAGAAAAAAATGTGCAAAATGGAGCTTGAAGCATTCATCTTAAAATAAAAAAGAAAATGTTATTCTACATGTACTAGGTAGCTAACTCCTTTATTTTTACGCTTTTCTCTCCATGAAAGCTTAGAAATGTTATGCGTTCACAAGAAATAAAAGAAATTCAATTCCATTCGGCTTTACACCAGTTCTAAAGTTCTGGGAAGTGTTATAGATAGTGACTGTAGAAATAAGTTTCTAGAAATTTCTAGAATTCTTAGTCATACTGACATGCACACCAAAATGGAACTTTGTAGAACATTCTACTAGTTTAATGATAAATACTTAATAATTAACACTACTAAAATACTTGTGTGTAAGCTTCTGGAATGTTCTGGAACACTTTGTAAATGTATATAAGGACTCGGCCGTGTGATAATAGTAGTTCTTGTTGTTGCAGTGTGTAGTCAGTCGAAAGTAACTGTGGCTACGCTTTCATGAATTTTTTTTTTCTAAGTCCTTCTCGGACAGTAAAGAGAAGCAAAGTTTTCGAGATTCGCAACTCACTTAAGTAAAAGGTTATTTGCATTTCTTCTCGCATTCTTCCTTGGTGTCAAAGTTGTTTGCGTTACCATCGCATCCTCCATAAATGAACTGCTCACATTCTCCTGTATCACTGTTGTAGTAGAATCTTGGTATCGCTGCTCTGCAAGGGCCTTGAAATTTCGGCAGGTTACAGACTTCTGGATTTTTGGCATTGGTCCCAATTGAAACTGTCAACAAGACAAAGGGTTTCTGAGGATTTCTTAAGATTTATTTTTTAATCTATAGAAATTAGGGTTAACAACTGACTTTATAGTGCTTTGGATGAATTGACCAGACTGTCAGACTAGGAGATAGAAAACAGCCGCTCAAAAGGAAACGTGATCAATCTACAACAATCGCTCCAAGTGAGTTGTGAACGATTTATTTGGTGCTCTGGCCCGACGTTTAGTGAAAGAAATACAAGTTTTGTCTTCCACCCCTGAAGTCTAAGTTAGAAACCTTGTACTATTCACCATAAAAGTGCGCACGCGAACATGATAACACCCTTTTAGGCTACTCACCTTAGTCACTGTCTATCGAGGAATAAACAGCGAGTAGCGTAGCTAATCAGATAGTAGCACTAATGATTGAACTCTAGTAGATATATTCTAAGCATTCTTAGCCTCGCTTTCGAGTCGCAAGTCTCTACTAAGTAAGATTAATCACAGTACGGGAAGAAAATATAAACAGTCTCAACCCTCAATCCTTACTTCCGCTGAAATTGGAGTAGCTTTCGTTTCGACTCGAATAATCTGTAACCTCTACCAGCCAAGAAAGCGAGGGGTCTCGGGGATAAGTAAGGTCATTCAACAGAGAGCAAACTGTTTTTTTGTGCTCTTACCGTGGGTAAAAAAATGGGACACGAAAAAAAAAATACTAAATTGCTATTTATACCTAAAAACTCTAAATGCGTTACTCCAGCGAAAAGGAAATAATTCAGACATTGAACCAAGTCATCTTATCATGTAGTCCCTCCTCCCGCGTCTTGTGGTTCCATTCAAATGTCAGTGCTACCAGTAGAATAATTATTTGGAATAACACATTTACGAGCTGAAAAAGCAATGTTCACACGTAGTTTCCAAATGATTAGTGAGTCAGTTGCTTCAATTAAATTTCAGTTCAGTAAAAGCGCAGTTTATTAGTGGCGTAAATTTTTAGGTAACCAATTTCTGTGCCAAATTCCGGCAAAAATAAAAATACGACATGGTACTATGAACTCATCGTTAGATAGAGTGGTCGAACTAGGATCAAGCGATATTTTAGGAGTATGTACTCAGGTATCGCACTGAAAATTATTTCATAAAAAACAAAAACCGTTTTGAAAACAAGCAGTCGCCTATGTGCCTTTGAAGAAGGTTCACTTACTTACCGTACTGACAGGTTCTCTGCGATAAAACCAAGGTTATAGATTTAACTTGTACT